ATTTGTGCTAAAAACCAATGTGTTTATGAATATGAACTGGTATATGACAACAAATACCAGTTTTGCAGTATCTAAGCTGGAAATGACTTATACCAGAAGCCAGAATTAAATTAGACGAGTCATGTTTTAGTAAATTTATTCATAAAGTACAAAACTAAAATAATGTAGGAGCTGTGGCACAGCAGTTTCAGGTTTGGTTTCAGGCCTGTGTCCTATCCTGATTCCGCTGCCCCTTCTCCCCTCTCATTTGGCTGGTGATTATAACAAGCATATAAATAGACAATAAATAAATAATTAATTAAAAATAGAAAAATAACTTAAATTTACAGTCATGTTCTTGGCACATTCTGTTTAACTGATTTGACTTGGTATAGAACAGTGCACCTATTATATTAGTGACTATTAAGGTGCGGTAACAGTGACATTTCTGTGAAAATTTGCAGACAATAAAGATCCATTTTATATCGCCAAATGTAGCGATGTATGAAGCACAAAATGGTTTGTGCTAGCTATTCTAGCATTACAGTTAAAGCAAAAATTAAAAACAGTACTAATGCATTAGTTTATTGCGTTGCATATTTTAGTGGAATGAGAGAAGTGTTAATTAACTGGGACAGGATATGATGTGGGTTTTTCTTTTTATTGGTTCAAATGAACGAAATCCAAACAATGGAACCTTAAATAATTCAATGACTCCATATGTGCTTTTACCCCACAGATGGAGTCAAGTAGCATAGCAAAGTCAAAGAACGACAAGGCATGGAGGGCAGTCTCAGAGGAAATCAAGAGGATCTTCAGAACTTCTGTTTTACAGCTGCAGGAGAAGGGGACCATGAAGAGCGATCAAGCCAAGAAATTCCTCTGCTCAGGTAAACTCTAGTTATTGTTACAGTTATGATTGAGCTCACAGCTAATAAATGTCTAGTGCTATTTTACATGGCTTTAAATGCCTGAGTTGGTTTGGAATGTGTTTTGCAGTACATTGAAACTTCTATAAGTGTGGACATTGACAGTGTATATACACAGTAGTCAACATTTGAAGTTGTCAATGTTATGATGAGGTGGAAGCAAGGAGGAAGAAGGATCCAATTGCAGCACACTTTATTCAATAAACTCAAACTACATAAAGACTCAGGGTAGGGCACAAGACTCAGGAACAGAACAACCAACATCAATGTTACAACAACAAGAACTCACAAAGACTGGACTGAAACACAGGGCTTAAATACAAGGCCAAACAAGCTAAACAAGATAACAAGGGGGCGTGGTATACATGAACACAAACGAGGAGCGGGAAAACTGAACAGGACTGAACCAAAAGCACAAAGACAGGGGGAACACAGACAAACATTACAACAGTCAAAACCTTTCATCAAAGTGAATTTTGAGCAATACCCATGTTTTTGTCTTAGGACAACTTTGATTAACTTTTTTGATCCACTTCAAATGTTGACTACTGTATGTCAGGGTTCTCAAATTTAAATCACTTATTTTTCACTGAGCTGAAGGTCCACAGACTCACCATGGCTCTATAATACAACCTATTATGCTTTTCCAATTTTTCAAACTTTAGTTAGTGTGTAATGGTTGCTGTCTGAGACATAAAAAAGATCTGCAAGGTTACAAAGATCAAAGTCCCACTCCAGAGGGGTATATTTTATTTAACAGAATCCCCTCTTCAAGAACAACAACAAACGGCTCGTTTGGACAACGCGATTTTTCCGGATCTTATGAAGTCACAATGGTACTCATTTAAATAATCTGTGCCTACAGAATATGCCAAAAGGGGACGGGGCCCCTTCATCATTATGTCCATGGAAAAAAAGTCCCCATAAAACATGAAAACCCAACGTGTGTGTGTGTGTGTGATTTGTGTACTGCACAATGTGTTGAAGCAATTTCCACGCACCAGCCAGCCACATCAAGTAAATCTGAGAGTCTTAAAAAGGCACAATTTTGCTCTGAACGCTTCAATGGTGCTTGATGCTTAACATTTAGGTTGTTTGTCTGTAGAATTACATGTATAATTAAAAAGGATGAAATCATGCAACAGAGTCGTAGTTTAAAGCTTTGTGGTTTCAGGGAGAGTTCGTATTCAAAGCTCACAATGAATGTAAATGTTATTTTTATCCTGCTCTTGAAAGTCATTGTGACTAAATTAAAATTCGCCTGCATTAGCCAGCATAAGAGGAGATCTAATCAGGCTAACTTGATTCATCCAGGTTAATCCAATATTCAGTGATACAGTTAAGTCTCATCACCATACCCCACATTAGAGACAGTGGGTCGGCAACCGGAGAAAGAACAGATTTACTGCTCGCTCTTTCATGTCATCCTGGGAGCCTTGGCTTATAATTCAATCACTGATACAGTTAAGGTCTTCATCTCAGCATGCAGTAGATATGAAACAACCGCATTCAGAGGCTCCCTATGCAAGGCATTTTTTCTTACTCGAAGAATAATTAGCTCTTAGTCGCAGTCTCGCAGAGGTTCCTTTCATTAAAACTGAGGTCTTCTGTCTGACTTCAGAGCATCAGTGAGTCTTTCCCTGAACTGATACTGATACTGATGATTTTGGCATACAGCTCATGAAAACCCAAAATTCCTATTTTCAAAAAATTAGCATATCATGAAAAGGGTCTCTAAACGAGCTATTAACCTAATCATCTGAATCAACTAATTAACTCTAAACACCTGCAAAAGATTCCTGAGGCTTTTAAAAACTCCCAGCCTGTTTCATTACTCAAAACCACAATCATGGGTAAGAACTGCCGACCTGACTGCTGTCCAGAAGGCCATCATTGACACCCTCAAGCAAGAGGGTAAGACACAGAAAGAAATTTCTGAACAAATAGGCTGTTCCCAGAGTGCTGTATCAAGGCACCTCAGTGGGAAGTCTGTGGGAAGGAAAAAGTGTGGCAAAAAACGCTGCACAACGAGAAGAGGTGACCGGACCCTGAGGAAGATTGTGGAGAAGGACCGATTCCAGACCTTGGGGGACCTGCGGAAGCAGTGGACTGAGTCTGGAGTAGAAACATCCAGAGCCACCGTGCACAGGCGTGTGCAGGAAATGGGCTACAGGTGCCGCATTCCCCAGGTCAAGCCACTTTTGAACCAGAAACAGAGGCAGAAGCGCCTGACCTGGGCTACAGAGAAGCAGCACTGGACTGTTGCTCAGTGGTCCAAAGTACTTTTTTCGGACGCAAGCAAATTTTGCATGTCATTCGGAAATCAAGGTGCCAGAGTCTGGAGGAAGACTGTGGAGAAGGAAATGCCAAAATGCCTGAAGTCCAGTGTCAAGTACCCACAGTCAGTGATGGTCTGGGGTGCCATGTCAGCTGCTGGTGTTGGTCCACTGTGTTTTATCAAGGGCAGGGTCAATGCAGCTAGCTATCAGGAGATTTTGGAGCACTTCATGCTTCCATCTGCTGAAAAGCTTTATGGAGATGAAGATTTCATTTTTCACCACGACCTGGCACCTGCTCACAGTGCCAAAACCACTGGTAAATTGTTTACTGGCCATGGTATTACTGTGCTCAATTGGCCTGCCAACTCTCCTGACCTGAACCCCATAGAGAATCTGTGGGATATTGTGAAGAGAAAGTTGAGAGACACAAGACCCAACACTCTGGATGAGCTTAAGGCCGCTATCGAAGCATCCTGGGCCTCCATAACACCTCAGCAGTGCCACAGGCTGATTGCCTCCATGCCACGCCGCATTGAAGCAGTCATTTCTGCAAAAGGATTCCCGACCAAGTATTGAGTGCATAACTGAACATAATTATTTGAAGGTTGACTTTTTTTTGTATTAAAAAAAACCTCTTTTATTGGTCGGATGAAATATGCTAATTTTTTGAGATAGGAATTTTAGGTTTTCATGAGCTTTATGCCAAAATCATCGGTATTAAAACAATAAAAGACCTGAAATATTTCAGTTGGTGTGCAATGAATCTAAAATATATGAAAGTTTAATTTGTATCATTACATTATGGAAAATAATTAACTTTATCACAATATGCTAATTTTTTTAGAAGGACCTGTATATACAAACATTTAAATTATAATTTGATACAATGCACTTATTGTGCACATACGTGTTTTTACATTGAACTTATATTTTGAAAATACCTACATGTATTACAGCTGTAATTATGGCCTGAGCACCAATGGTGCGAGGACCCTCTTGGAATTGCTCCGTTTATTAATTTCTGTAATGACATCTATAATTGCACTGGTAACTCTTTCCTTACACCTTAACCCACCCTTAAACCTACTCATACCACCACAGCCCTAACCTTACCTGTATCCCACCCCAGTAGCAGTAGAAGTGTTTTGCAATACAACATGAACACAATAAGTACATTGTACTTATTTCTGATGCAAGTGCATAGTAGTTAAAGACATCTAATATAAAGTATAAAGCAGTTGAACCCTTTTGTTTTTTTAATGTGTTTTCTATTTTGATTTCTAATATCAGAGTGTGAGGAAAATGCATATGAGGAATGAGGAAACTCTTTCCTGGGGGATTTGCAGTCGTTTACTTGCCGACTTTGCATCCCCTCTCTTCTCGTTTACAAAACAAGCTGCAAGTATGCGATACTAAGCTTATGAGGTTGGCAGGCTATCCTGGAATGCTGCCTTTGGAGGTCTTTGATAAAACCAGGCAAGGCTGGATTAAGAGATCATATCACTGTTTTTTTCTTAAAGGCAGCTCAAAGAGACGGATCTAATCATTCGCTAAAGACTAGCAAACGTGGGGGAAGTGCTCACATCATGACATCAAATTAAGTGTGTTTTCTGAAAGTGCCATGGAAGTTTTTTGGTTGTAAATAGTGGCAGAGATGAAATCTATGAATGAAACTAAAACATTCTGTCATGCAGAATTGGGTAATTATTATACTCTCTCTGTTCTCTCCTGTCTTTTAGCATTAGAGGATGAACTGGACTTCGCATTAGGAAAGCAGACCCCTGCCTTCCTCAAGAAATGTGTATGTTACATCCGGAAGATATCCAATTTTGATCGTTTCGCTAAACTCCCTGAGATGGCACGCTACATGGACATCGTTGTGAGCGACGACCGTGTCATGAGAAACCAGGAAGCCTACGAGCGTCTTCTGAAGGTCAGAGACGAGTTTGTTCCGATGGTGGTGGCAGCATCCAATCTTCGAGTCTACTCATCGGTCACTCACTGTGACATGAAACTTGGCTACTCGCAGGAAGTAGAGAGCCACTACGTTGAAGGTCTATGTAAACAGTTTTATGAAGACATGGTGGATATCATCCAGGCCACGGTCCAACAGAACTTTGACACAGAGACAGATACACTCTATGACGAAACCATACAGCATCTGTCGCTGTGCAAGACATTTTCATCTTTTTATGTGTACAAGAGTGAAGCCTTGGACATAATCCAGGAGTACCTGTTACCCTCTAAAGGTGGTCGAATAACTCCCCTAGTGGTGTATGGGGGACCCTGCACTGGAAAGACCTTGTTACTTGCTGAAGTGGCAAAACAGGTGAAAAGCATGTATAGTATGCATGTGTGTGTGTGTGTGTGTGTGTTTTGGGGGGGGGGTAATATGTGAACATACTGACCTGCTTTTTAAGGCCATCTGGATGCCGGCACATGTTAGATTAATGCTGCGGGATGCCTGTATTTTGCCTAAAGCTGTTATTTGCTTCCTCTGACTTAATATCTGATGTCATGGCATGATATTCAAATTAACATTAAGGTATATTGGGCTACTGTTACATGTATTTATCTATTTGCATCCCCATGTGTATCTGGAGGCACACAGTAATCCAAATACAGATCATTGCATTTACAAGCTTAAAAAATCGCTGACATAATTTAATTGATAATAATAATTCAATATAATTATTCCTATCTGTTAGCTTCAACCAATATTTAGTGCTTATGGAGATCAGTAGTGTTTGTGTATGTCATGTGTTGATGGTCAGAGTCGACTGTGTTGATAAGTTTGGGGGCGAGGAACAAAGGAGGAAGGGTAGTGTTGACATTTCCCATCACCCATGGCAACCCGTCATAGACCTCAGCCTCTAATGTTAGTTCACAGATGATGAGCCTGGGGACCTTGACTAACTCCCTCGTCCTTGCTTATGTTCTCTCCCTCTTACTGTCCTTCTATGTAACATACACACTACAGAGACACAGACACTCTAAAATATTTATATATGAAATGCATTTTACATGGCCACACATTACATGCACTTTTTATAATCAATTACTTACTCCTAACATGATCTCATGTTGGGACAGCTAGCACGTTTTACACTTCCCATGTCAGTGCAGTACTGTACTAAGAATATGAGCTTAGTGATGCAGTCAAGCAGCAATCTGAGCACACACACACACACCCCTTGGCTAATCACACAAATGCACAGTCCTCTTGAAAATGAGGGCTTTGGAAAAGCGTATTATCATTAATTGTCAGCCTCTCCAGACCGAGATAAATAATATTTCATGTTTCCCTGAGTCACAGCTGGGGGCACCATTTAACCACATCCAAGAAAGAGGTATTGTGCTAAGGATGAGGGAACAATTCAAACTGATTTAGAAAATCCTTGGCACAAGAAATCCAGTGCTGACTCTATTGCTCTTGAGCACATTCGATTATTTGCTATACAGTCATTCATCTTGGTTTTCCTTCCTCACAATCTGAGTTGTTAAGGTTAGTGTACAGTGGATCTACTAAATAATAGATGGACTAGTGTCACTCGAGTTTTGTTTGCTAAAGTCATACTTATAGGTCACAGCAGTTCCTGGATTTTTAACCAGCAGTTCCTGAATTTTTTTTTTTTATAAGAACAGGACATAGGATCCTGTTAAACATTAAATAGTAATGTGTACAGTAGTTGTATTTTATGTAGATCATATCTAATTTCAAATGGCCACGCTAATATAATCAGATTACAAAATTATCAGTTTTGCACAAAATAACATCTTGAGCTTTTCCTAATTGTATATATCCTACAGGTAATTGTAAATATTATAAGACTTAACATACTGGAGAATATTCAGTAAACTGTACATATATGCTGTATTTCTGAGCTTCTGTTTCATTTTCATTTGTTTAGGCCTATTCGTGGCTACAGAAAGAGATGGGACCAGAAACAGACCCAGTGGTCATTGTCAGATTCATCGGCTCCACTGACTTCTCTGGTGACCTCCGCACCCTGCTACAAAGCATCTGTGAGCAGATTGCCATCAACTATCGGTGCCTGATCCATTTCTTGCCAAACAAGATCCAGGAGATGAGGGAACTGCTGGTGAATTTGCTCGGGGAGTCATCATTCCACCGACCTCTTGTCATCATTCTGGATGCCTTGGAGCAGTTGTCAGATGTTGACGAGGCCCGAAAGCTGTGGTGGCTGCCTGTCCACCTACCACGTACAGTCCGAATTGTAGTGTCCACCCTGCCCAACAAGCATGGAATACTGCAGAAACTACGTTGCCTGATACATGACGAGGATGGTTATGTTGAACTGATGCAAAGAGATCGCAAAGCTTGCAGTCAGACACTTAAACAGCAGCTTCTGAGTGTCAAAAGGAAGGTGACCTCTGGCCAACAGATATATGTGAATGAGGCAATGGCTAAATGTACACTGCCCATGTTTGTCAATCTCATCTACCGAGAGGTAGTTCACTGGCGGTCGCACAAGGATGTGGATGACAAATCGTTGTGTTCCACAGTGCACGAAAGTATTGAGCAGCTTTTCTACTCTATCGAAAACAAGCTTGGCTCACGCTTTGTCTTTCGGGCACTGGGCTACATCACGATGGCACGGGCAGGCCTGACAGAGTTGGAGCTAGAGGATATTTTATCTTTGGACAACAGTGTCCTTGGAGACATCATGGTGAGCTCTAATCTTAAAAGCCCGCTGCGTATTTCTTACGATTTCATAGCCCGGCTAAAAGAAGAACTTGAAGGTTATTTAGTGGAGCGTCAAGTCCGTAATGTAACACTAATGGTGTGGGCAAATCGACATCTGCATCTCATAGCACAGAAGCTATACCTTAGTAATGAAGAAGATGTGCATCAAATGCATAGCCTTTTGGCTGAATACTTCCTTGGGGCTTGGGCAGGTGGTAGAAAGAAGATATTCCACTGCGACAATAATCATTTAGCTTCACTGAATATCTCCCAGCATCGAAACCCTCATCAACAGCAGAGCCTTCATGGCCATGACAAAGCTTCTGCTGACAAGCACTCTTATGACAGACAGACACCCGAACAACCCTGGGTGTTCCAGTGTAACTTGCTGGAGCCGGACATCTTCTTTGTCAACCATCGAAAGATGACAGAGCTCACATACCACCTGACAAGGAGCGGCCGAACAGATGATCTCATGTATGGTGTCATCATGAACTTTAGCTGGCTCTACACTATGATAAAGATAGGGCAGTTTGACAAGGCCCTGTCAGACATCGACCTAGCTTACAGCTACACACAAGAAAAGGAGCTAAAGTTTCTTGCAACTACTCTCCGCAGTATAAAGCTCAAAGTGACAAAGAATCCTGCGTCACTGTCTGCTGAGCTACAGCAAAGGCTCCTTCCGGTTGTCACATCCCTTCCCAAGCTCAGACACCTACTTCTTGAGTGTGACAAGGATGGTCCTAAATACTGCTCCATTGTGCCACTGCATTCTTCCATGGATGTCACCTACAGTCCTGAGAGATTACCACTCTCTTCTAGCTACATGCAAATTGTGGAGATTCTACCTACATTAGCTCCAAACATAGTCATTGTGGCCCTCGAGGATGGATCCGTCAGCACATGGGATGTTGAGAGTAGACAGCTGCTAAGACAGATAGACACAGCAAGGTCAGTTGTTCTTGGCATCAGGTTAACCACAGATGAGAAGTATCTGGTAGTGGCCACTACAAAAAATACACTGCTCATTTACGACAACCACAAGTCCTGTTTGTTGTCTGAGGTCGAGGTAAAAGGATCCAAGCACTGTGGCATCACCGGCGGGGTGGCGTTCATCAATGGATTCACCTTGTCCAGCCACCATGCCTTAGCTTGGTTGGAGGCAAGCAAAGACGTCAATGTGATTGATTTGCTCTATGGCTGGCCTTTGTATCAGTTTCATTGCTGGTATGAGGTAACCTGTGTCCAGTGTTCCCCAGATGGAATGTATGCTTTCTGCGGACAGTATCTCAACACGACCACCATATTCCACCTTGGTAGTGGGGACAAGCTTGCCACAATGACTTCTGAATTCTCTGGTGGTTTTGTCAAGTCAATCCTGATTCTTGACACAATCAATCAAATGGTGATGATTGACAATGAGGGCAGTCTCTCCGTGTGGAACACCAAAGATATCACAAATCCCAAGCTAATGGAGGATTATGACTGCAGAGGAGATGAGAGTGAGGTGGTGGGCATAGAGCTCTCAGAGGATCAGCGATCCATCCTCATCTGCAAAGCAAGTAGCATTGAGGTGCTGGACACCAAGATTTGGAAAATGGCAGAGAAGTTCAAGGCCAAGCGAAGTGAAAAGTTTGTGGCGGCTGTTCTCTCCAAGAATAACCAAAGTATAATAGCCTCCATGGAGAACACATCATCAATATTTGTGTGGAGGAGAGACAGTGGGCAGTGCATGGCCAGCTTGATAGAGATATCCGGAGCCATTGTAAAGCTGATCAAATCAACACACCATAACTTGCTGCTATCTGTGGCCAGCAGTGGCGTGCTTTCTGTGTGGGACATAGACATTATAACAGCCATGTCGAACATTGATAAAACTGGAAAACCTATCCAAAACCTGCAGCTCTCTGGCCGAGAGGATTTTGTATACACCACGGATGGGTCAGAGGTCATTCACAAGTGGAACTACAGCACAGGTTTCATTGAGATGGTGTTCAAGCATGAAGGACTCGTTGAGAACTGCGTCCTGACGACATCAGGTGACCTAATGGTGACATCTGATGATAAAAGTAGTCAGTACATCTGGCATACGACCACAGGTGAAAATATATTCCGTATCAACGGCCAGAGAATCTCACAGCTTCTCATCACGCACAATGATCAGTTTGTTGTGTCCCTCTGCGAGCAGAACGCCTCTCGTGTTTGGAGACTCGCCACTGGTCACAAGGTATGCAACATTCTGGTAACACTCCAGCAAGCCCTCATTACCACAGCAAACACATTCCTTGTGGGCGCCAACAAGAATAAGATGTTAGCTGTTAGCTTGTGGTCAGGTAGTGTTTCCAAAAAATTTATCTGTGACGATGGGATCACAATTGTTAACTTTAAATTAATCCCTGACAGTCCAGATTTTGTTGTCTTCATCACCTCCAACGAAACTGTTTTCATCTGGAGTGTCGCTGATGAGTCTGTGTGTAGGCGGGTGCAGCTGCCCAGCAACTTCTTAAAGAACCTGGAAGATTTCCAAATATCACCAAATGGAAAGTTGGGCATTGTGTCGAAAGGTGATGAGAACATCAATGTTCTAGACCTGCACAGTGGTAAACTGCGTCTGGTCCATGCTGCTGGCATAATATGGCGGCAAAAGCTCTCACGGGACGGACGCTACTTAGTGTACATCTGTTTCCGGAATTGCGATGAAGATGATGATGCAGGTGTGGTTTCAAGTCTGATTGTCATGAGATTGGCAGACGGTAAGAGCATCGGGACCTGTTCCCTTTACAAAACACCAACCTATCTGTGCCTATCACAGCGAGCTCTTAACATCATTGTGGGATTTGAGGATGGCAGCATTGGCACCTACACAGTTGTAGACCGTGTGGATGCCGCTCTAAAAATCAAAATCGCCACCTCAAACAGTCGGCAAATCGTTAACAATGCCTCACAGAAAGTACGACCCAAGTGTAGCACCAATGCCTTCAAGACCATTGCTGACTGTGTGTGGAGAGAATCCACTGAGGTTTTCTCTCGGGACAGTCCTATCAATGTGTCTGACAGTGGGGAGCCAGAGACCACAACACCCACAAAGAAAACTGAACTGCTGCAATGAGAGCACCCTCTGTAGGACATTATGGGCATGAAGGAACAAGGCCAGGTTTGGATTGTTTACAGCCACTTTGATTCAGCTGCACAGATCAGTATCTGGGTAACACACAGCAGCTGGCCAATTGCTATTAAACTGCACTTAAGCTGCAATCAGTCACCTTGATTTCTCTTATTTATCATCAACTTACTGTCACGAAGAATTCAATATCATTTTAATATCAATAGCAACAAATTAATTTGAAACCGATGCCATTCATAGCGAAAGCCAGTCCAATCGGCTTTATGATATGTTCTTCCTTCTCATGTGTATGCCAATGTGGCCATATACTGTAGTTTAGATTTTGTATGAGTTTAGTCAAATCAAGCCATATTGTCACTTTATACAGAAGCATAGAGAAATGTAATACATTTGTAGCCATATAAGTGTTGCTGCCTTTTTTCCCCTTCTTTTTTGAAAATGTTCATTTGTGTCTGTTTATTAATGTCCTCTGGTACTGTACTAAAATGGAAACTTATGTACATATGTGTACATATGTATTTTGGCTGCTGCAGTATGTGCAACTACTTAAAAATGCTACGTTGTGCTAAATGCAATCAAAGTGAGTGCCTGGATTTTAACTTTTTTTGTTGTGGTTACAGAAACTGATAAAGAGAAAATTGCAGGGAATTTCTAAACAAAAATACCTTGATACAAGTATTCATCATTACGATTGTTACGTACAATAAACGTGTAACAATGTTACGTGAAACATTCAGCATACAACGAATACGCATTTGAAATTACAGCATCCAAATGAGGATCATTGGAAAGTATATTTCAGTATCCAGAGTACATGTATGGTCTGGAGTCATTATGAGCTTCTAAGTAAATTCAGAATGCATTCTAGACATACTCTGACCAGAGTGGCATGAAAGTCCATGTGTGGCAATTGCTCTAAATGACAGACAGTATTCAATCTATCCTCATATTTAATTATTTATCAATGCCAATAAATACTGTCACTCTACCTTGCTGATTAATCATATATATATATACAGTGTGTATTTCTATATATATATATATACATTTGACCACAGCAAGACTGACAAAGTCTAATATAAAAGGGGGAAAGGATAGTTATATTTTATTTGAACCGGCAAACTGATACTGAGAAGGTCATCACCTGACTCGACTAAATCCAAGATAATAACACTTTTAATGCTATTACTTTTAAAGAAAGTGTAACTTATTGCATCAAAAGACGGTACAACTGTACCAAGCTATAAATGGCAAGTTTTGATTTGGGACTAAACCACTATTGAAGAGTCATGTGTATCATCTCACCAAGGGTATCTACGCCTTAACAGTTGGGTCATCTTATACAAAGGTGTATTTTGTTAGTGTTAGCTTATGTTCTTTGTGAGGTAAAGGTTGAATGTGTGCTTGAAAAAAATAATACTTTGTACTTTCATGTTATAGGTGACTTAGAGATATTTATGAATCTATTTATAAATAGTGTTTGCCAAGGCAGTGTTTGGTGGTTGCACTTTATTTTAAACGGGTTGTTCACAAAGGTTTACTTTCAATAGGCGTCACGAATGCTAACTATACTATTTTTGCCTTCAGTTCTCTGGCATGTCGCAAAAGAAAGTAATTTCAACAAAACGATCAGCCATGCCCCATTCAAACTCTTCTCTCCATAACTCAAGGGCTATTCCGTCAAATTGTATGTTTACCTTTGGAAATACAGACACATATACAATACTGGCCCATTCACAACCCACAACCTGTAGCAGTATTCAGGTGTGATTAGCCTCTCCCGCTTAAGTGTTTATAATCTATAGATATCATACAATATTTGCCAAAGTTTTATTTATTTTTTAAATTTCATTATTATTATTTGTTTTCAGAATGTTAAATGGTGTTGTGACCTACTCGTTACTTTTATGGACTTGTCTGGCTTTGTTGTGTTTGCTAGCATAACTATGAAAAAGAACATGCATTATCTTTGCTAAGATATTGATGAAGTCCATCTCTATTATATTGGAATGCCAGTTTTAGAGTATATTTGAATGTGTCGATATGAGAGCAGTTGAACAGTATATTATATGTTATGTAACTTGAATGACTTTTAACTACATACATGTTTGCAAAACATAGTTCACATACTGATATTGAATGTGTTTATTGTATTATTTGTATTGTCAAGATTGAAGATCCCTGTTTAGAGATATATATTTTCATAAATGTTGTACTTACATTTTGTTACAAAGTTGTTTAAGTATTCTGGGAAGAAAATAGAAAAAAATTGTGTCTGAAAGCAATATGACTTAGTGTGTATGCATTGTTTGTATGGAACATTTTAATGTAATAAAATGGTTTTCTTTCTGCCTATAAAATCTCGTTACTTTTATATGGGTATATTGGTCTTTTTGGATTATACCTATTGTAATCCAGCTAATACTAATCTTTGTTTAGTGAACTTTTTATCACGCTGATTCCTCATGAGGCATATTGTTTATATGAGGAATGCTTTGTTAAAAAGATTCCCTATGGCACAATCAGAAGCTGAGACGTTGAATGATTTGGCTGATAATAGTTTTACTCCCCTGTGCAATGCGCAAACAAATGTGTTAAACATTTTCCAAACAGTGGGCAGGTGCTTTACCATATCAATATTTCAATTACTGCTCGCAACACCTGGATTCTCTCGCACACGTGCGCATCAGTGCAGGCTCCAACACACAAACACCACCATAAACAAATTCTAGCTCAGGGCAGGAATGCTGGTGTGTGGTCTCTATGGAAACTGAACCCTCAGCGGCATCTGCCCCCTGTTGTGATGACTATGGAACTGGCATCTCAACATTGTGTATGAGAGAAAAACAAATGCATTCCCTTTTCTTTCTTTTTTTTACATAAACTCATCACAGCATAGACGCTCTTAGTCATCTCTCCCCAGGAAGTCACTGTGCTTGTGTGCTGTAACTGAACAATTGTCACCAAATAGTCAATATTTGTACAACTAAATATAGCCTACCAAGTTTATTCTGATCATCCTTCTGTTTCTGCTTTCATTTCCTGGTCTGACTACTTTTGTATGATGCAATCTTACAGCAATTTACCCCTCATTTTGTACCATATATGTTCAAATTTACTCTTAAAGTAGTTGTAAATAAAGCATATACTTTTAACACACCACCATAAGCAAGATTTTTTAAAGAAATCTTTTATTCTCACCAAGACTGCATTTGTTTGATTAAAAATATATTTTAATATATTTTTAAAATGTAATTAATTCCTGAATTTTGAACACCCACTGCTTCAGTCTTCATTTGTCACACAATCCTTCAGAAATCATTCTAATTTACTGATTTGGTCCTTAAGAAACATTTCTTATTGATGTTAAAACAGCTGTACTGCTTTATTTTTGTGGGAACTGATACTTTTTTTTTTGTCAGGATTATTTGATGAATACAAAGAGAACAGCATTTGTTTGAAATATATTTTTCTGTAATACACAAAAGTCTTTACTGTCACTTTTGATCAATTTAATGCATCCTTGCATACAAGTGTTCATTTATTATTTAAAATATATTATTGCCCCAGAGCACAACCCGCTTTGATAATATATTGTATTTAAAAAAGCTATAGACAGCATGATGTTGATAGAAAAAAAAAATAGATTGAAGCAATATGATTAATATAGTTGTCGGAAAAATCCAGCAAAGCCTTTGAAGGTATCTTGGATTCTTTATGAATGACTGCTAAAATATGATCTGATGGTTATGTAAATATTGACCATTTGACAATTTGGGGGGGAAAATTCAGAAAACAACAATAATATTTCATTTACAATGGCCATAAAAAGATCTGAACTCTTTTATTAATCAGGATGTCTTGATCACTTTTCCATAAGATTAGGATTACATTGACATTGTACATTTACATAATTTTTTCTTAATTATAAATATTGACTTGACTAAATTGAAATATGATTCAAAACGCATTCCAAAATCTATTATCACGATAAGAACATTTGAACAGAGAGGTTGGAAAAGGTGTGGAGCATTTACTTATGGTGTACACCCAAGCACTTTCATGTTGTATTACTATAAAATTACTACAGCTCTTTGGATCTCATTGTATCCTGCAGCTGTGATCTACTGCAGAATTAAATATGAAAGATAATGACATTCTGAAACAAACAAGCAACAAAAAAGTGCATCATGTAACTCGATCTCCTAAGTAACCAAATGGAAAAATTCAGTCCAGTGGAGACAGGACGAATAAACACACCCATGTAAGAGAGTGAAAATATGTGTCCTGTTGTCATCCTCACTATGCGCTATGGTCACATGGTCACACTTTGAATGCAAATCAAACTTGTGTTTTGATGTATTATTTACAATAGCAACAGTAGTGCTATGTTCAAATAAAACTGATTAATTATTTCAAACAAATGTAAAAAAAAAAAAAAAAAAAAAAAAAAATACCACAAATGTAAAAACAATATGTGGTCCTCACATACAGTATGATCTCTAACAGCATTGGCAAGTGGACACATGAACATCTTTTTAAGAAATACATTCTAGCTTACAGACACTACTAGCCCAAGAAAATTACAGTGACATTAACTTAATTAAAAGAGCACCAAGTAAACAGACATGCGCAATTGCTCGTATGTTTGTTTTTCTACCATAGTGAGGACTTTCTGTTGACTATGTTGTTTTATATTCAGATGACAAGTATGAATTAGCTGATTTATGAGCAACTCAAACAATCAGGGCCATTTGAAATATCCTTACAAGTCAGTTTTTGCCATGTATCACTATATTTGTGAAGACATTTTCAAACTTTTGGCCCTCAGAAGTATAGTCAAACCTGTACTCTATCTCAGGTTTTGTCAGGTTTTACTAATTTGTCCCCAAAATATGGTCACGTAGACACACACACACACACACACACACACACACACACACACACACACACACACACACACACACACACACACACACACACACACACACACACACACACACACACAAAACACATGTATAGAAAGAAACAGCAAGGATGTTTTGACTTGATATTAATAATCAGAAATTAACTTGTGACTCATTTACAGTAGCCTACATGAAGCTTCCGTTGACAGTTACACAACGATACCCCTATGTCACCTTCAGCTGCCATTCAAAGGTGAAAAAGATAATTTATCCCAAACATTCAGACTAGTCGATCAGATTATTGCTTAACCCATGGCATCACACTCTCTACTCCTGACTACTGATTAATTTTGAGCAAACACTCTGACCAATAACAGAGGGAGTACAGAGATAAACAGTGGCATTACAGTGGCATTTGCTCCATAGCATGTAACATACACTGATGACTTCTTTAAGTTCTAAAGTTTACTTTTTTTCCTTTTATTTTTTTTGGGTGTACAATATAGGCCTATTTTATTGTAATAAACTCTATAGTACGCAAAATAATGTTGCTTTAATTGCTTTATTTAGTTCAAATCCACTTGAATGAACCTGCCCAGCCTGTCTAACATACGCATTGCCTACACTGCATGACGTTCATTTGTGCTGCTGAAATGATTTCCCAGCGTGCCAGTGGTTTAAACGGTGTTTCCCAGTTCGCTGCGTTTTCCTGATCCCTCGTCACATGGTTTGTCGTTAACGTGCCGAGAACAGGCCCTTCCTTGGACTCAGACTGCCATCTGAAATTCAAATGGACGTGTGCTGGAGGCAAGGCAGAGCGGAGTCACGGGGGACCTTCCTCAACTCGGAGTCGGAAGCAGTAACACAAGGGCAAAATAAACATAAGGAAGGAGGAGGAAGCGACTGCGATGTGTGCGCGACGTCTTCAGGTCATGGAAGAAGTTTTTTTTTTTTGGGACACTTCGCTTTTTTGAGGTCGCTTCTGGTTTAGTATATTACGAATTGCGAAAATAAATGAACGCCGCAGTTATTCGTAAAATTGTAGCCCCTCTGGCAAACAACTACCACACCTTTATCATCAGTGTAACAGGTAAAGGTTTTCGGTTAAAGCGCTTTATCATATAAGAGCTCAAGTTTTTCCTCTCACCTGTTGCGCGGATCTCAATATAGACGGATTGAACGTTTGGACAATATGAAGACACATCTTTAAAAGATAAACAGTAAGTCTACTTACTTTATTAGAACAAAAATAAAATAAAATAGTTTGCCCGTATCATCGCCTTTTTGGGAATATGATGGAGTTAAACGACATAAAAAGTCGATTAACTTGTGTTTGGTAAGACTTATTTTAAATGTTGTTAAAGCCTGTGCTCGCAAGGCGCATGTATTTACGCTAGAAGAAACACGGTTTTACCTCGTCATATGGAGGTGTAGTTTAGTTTTTTCATGGGTAAAAAGATAGTTCACTCCAATGGTTAAAAAGATAGTTCACTCCAAAATAAAAATGATTTTATCTAGCTACTCACTCTCATGTCAAACCCATATCACTTTTCCTTCTTGTGGAACACAAATGGACAAGTTTGAGAGACAGGTGCTGAGCAACATTTCCCCTGCAGTTACAATGAACAATGACTGAAGATATAAAGCTTCAAAAAGCAAATATGATAAAATATGTCCCTGTGACTTGTCTGCTTTATTTAAAGCCTTCTGGAGCCATATGAGAGCTTTGTGTGAAGAACAGACTGAAATGTATGTTGTTATTCACATAACATTTCCCTATCCATTGAGCTTATAACAGCTGTGACTGAATCATTGATATTGCTTCCCTTTTGAGTCACCATATACTGTCATTGCCATCACTTTTACTGTGAACCGATGGCAGTAGAAAAAGGCTTTTACCTTATAGGTGAAGGTGTGCAGCTTGTAAAAGGTGTAGATTTCTGAAGGATAATGTGACAATGAGGACTGACGGCTGAAATTTCAACTTTGTCGTCACAGGAATGAATTACATTTTAAAATAGAAAATTAGTTCAGTTTGTTTATACTGAATTTTTATCAAATAAATGCAGCTTTGGTCATCATATGACTTTACCAACCCCAAACCTTTGAATGGTAGTGAATTGAATAACATCTTATTAAACCCTTTAGACACTTTTAAAGTTAAACCCAAAATTCTAAGCTTGTTTCGTGATTTTGATGTACATTTTATATTGTATAATCTAGCCTTTTTCAGGTAGCCGGTCTCCATATATGCTTGGTAGGCTTGTGTTAATGTTTACAGTAGCCGTGGCGTGAGGGGGGAGTGAGCAGGTTTATGCAGTTTGTGTTTACAGTCAGACTCAGTGTTTACTTTTGTGCAAGGTCTGCTGTGCTGTGAAGGTGTGGTCTGAGGTGCCCAACAAAGGGCCACTGGGCCTCGTGCTCCATCAAGCTCCGGCATTTTACCTTGACATTTACACTGCTAGTGTGTACACAGACTAGCCTACATTGTACATCTGAGCATGACGTTGTGTAACACAAATCACCTTTTCCATGGTTCACTATTCACAGTTTTAATCTCTCAATCTCTTTCCCTTTAGCCATTTCCCACTTTATAAGCAGGGCTCTGTTTGAAGGGCAGCAAGTTTAACGACGATAAGGATTTTTTTAGTAGTCTACAAAAAAAAAAACACACACGTTGTGATGCACAAACCACCTAGGGCCTGTGTGTCTTCCATCTTGTGTGATCCCATGACTGTGGAGCTCTGATCATGAGCGCTAGTATTGCGTAGATTTCATGTAATAACGCAGTATTCATAGATGTACTTGAGAAGGTTTTGCTGCTCCGGAGCAATTGAGTGAATTCTGAGTGTCATGGGATGACTCTTAGAGAAATAAAGCTGTTCCTTTTTTTGTTTCATGTTGGCCCTGCAGGCAAGATGTACATGTTTAAAATTGGAAAATGTTCATTTGATTATCTCTTATGATTTGGCACAATGCTGTAGCTTCTATAATTGTAATCAAGTGGCACTGTATAGTGTTTGTATGTAAGAACACATATAATATACTTTAATATATATTAAGAGATCTCTTTCAAAAACAACAACAAAAATCTTACTGAGCCCAAACTTTTGAACGGTAGTGCATATATACATAACGGTTAATGTAATATCAATATCACACTATAGACATAATCTGAAAACAGGATTTCTTTAAGTGAAGCTGGACATATAATTAGTCTATTAGTTAAGTGAAGCTGGACATATAATTAGTCTATTAGTTATCAATAATAACTATTTCTAGAATTAGCATTCTTGCTCAAACAGTAGAGCATGGCGCTATCAACGTGAAGGTTATAAGTCTGATTCCCAGGCATTCATCATTTACTGTTTTTAACTTTCTGAATTTCAGCCTGTTCTCATTTTTTGGTAGTTACTACTTACAAAAAAGTGCACTTTTTTAAAAAGGCTGTACTGTTCTCTCACCGTAGAAGATGCTTCATGTGGTAACTGGTTTTATTCAAGTTAAAATATTTATGATGCATCAACCTGACTACATTTGGTTACAACAACAACATTTTCCAGGGTCAGATGAGGTAGAAATGACATCTTAAGGTAACAACCTCACAACTTCACTTTTTATTGCACTACTCTATTTACATTATTATGATATTCAGATTTTTTAACTCGGCTATAAGACAATAGAGTATTAAGAAGCAGCATTTGAGGAGTAGATGCTGAATTTTAGCCCTGCAAGCAACTAAATTCAAAAAAGAGACTCTTTTATCAGTATATGACACCGTTTTTATTAACAAACATAAACTGAAACGGCTGAATAATAGCTAGCAGTGTGTGTGTTTGGAGATGCCTCAGGATGTAAGCTGGATCCTTGTTTTGTATATTTAGCGTAGTATTAAGTGATGATGCAGTCTCAAGAGGGCTGATTGTGTAAGCGCTGGTCTTCTGGTAATGAGGTCATGGCAACAGTGTCCAGGGCAGCACACCCACATTTGGCAGTATTTCAAGACATATTAAAAAGGAGCTTTAATCGCAGTTATATATGACACGAATGTGATATTTAGCTGGTCCAAACATATGGAGAAATGTGTGAGATGTTTCCCATTGGATATAGCCTCTTTTTTTTTTTATCCAACCAAATTTTAAAGATACAGACTAACTGAAATTTACACTTTTAAATGTTTCCAGATTTGTGATGGATTCTTCATGTTTCTTCCATTGTTAATGACCCTTGTCAATTTCATGCCATCTGTCTGAGTCCATATGGCGTAAATAAAAATGAACGGGAGCATAACACATGCTGAGGGAAAGAGAAATGCTAAACCAGTTTTCCCACTTGTCTAAACCACACCTTCATGAATCTGATCCCTCTATGTATTAACCCTCCACCTGTACAAGACAGACACATCATCCAATACTCAGTTACACACACACACACACACACAAAATATTGATGGATAACCTAATATCCTTTACTATCCCTCTCTCTCTATTAACTTTGTAAAACATTGGCTCTGTTGTTAAGGTAAAAAATATTGTTTAAGAGTAAGCCATTACCCAGGCGTATATATAAATGTTAGTCCTTGTAAATGACCCAGAACTGTGTGTGTTTTTGATTTGTGCAAATGTAAATGCTTCTTTCCTGTGTTCGGGTGGACAGGGTTGTGTAATGTTTTGACTGATACCATAAACCAGCATTTTAGCACAATAGACTAAACTGAGGTGCTGCCACAACAGAGATCAGCTTCCTGTTCACTCGTACATTAAATAGATGCATTGCACACAACAAATAGTGGATGTAATGTAAAGAAGCAGGGTGTTTCTTCAGCTATAGACACTGTTGCAATGCAAGTAGAGATCATCTAGAATTTCTGCTCACTTTCAGTAGAAATGGACTCCCGCGCTCTTTAGAACATTTGCAGTACATTCACAGCAGATGGTTCAAAATCCCTAAATATAAAAGTGAGGTGAGCAAATAACAATAGTGAAATAATCATAAACCATTAAAAAACTTATTATATAAAAATTATTTACATCATTTTTTTTCCCATAATGTCCCCATATCATTTCCACCAGGACCAACAACTGCCCTTAATAAAGTTTTTTTAATGTACTTTACCAAGAAGTCAACAGTGTCAGTGAAATATGAGACATGATGTTTAAAAACAAGATAAATATCACTTGTAAACATTTTTTTTTATTGTGAATTATTTCCAAGCTGTAGGTAATTTTGTCAAATAATAAAAAAAAAAAATTATTTAATTTTTATGTTGTAGACCACAGAATGCCATTGACGGAATTCTCCGGCAATCCATGTTTTCACTGTTATATTAGGCGGAAGTGGAACTACTAGACATATACTGAAATAGTACTAAATCTTCGGATCAAAACGCAGACGGAGAAGAAGCAGAAATGAGTGATAGCATAGCAGATGCACGTAAAATAACCTGATCATAAATATTCAACGGCATATAAATCCAAACTGCCTATAACATTACCTACCGGGTGCTGGTGGACGCGATCTATTCGATCTATGTTTTGATCATTGTTCAGAATCCGATCTGGATCTGATTGTGATTTTCTCCACTTTTTGCACATTTGTTTTTGCTTTTTATTAAACTTGCCCACATTCAAGTGTTGCTAAATTATTTATTTTTTAAAGCGTAGGCTCAGTTCTTTTTATTTTGATATATTACATGTCCAGATATTAATAAAACAATTAATAAAATATTCTGGGGGTAATGAAACTGATCAAATGATAAAATGCTGGCGCTGACTGGCAACTTTTTAAAAAAAAAACGCTGGCGGGAAAAGAGTTAAACGCAAAGTAGCCTACACAACTTGTGTGGTTGAAATGTTAATGACTTACAAAAAATGGACAGAAATGACACAATTCTTAAGACACGCATGTACACTATTGAAAAGTGTTAGTAAAGTGAGAATGTGAAAATATCAAACACCTGCTTTCTATGAAGCAATAATAAAAAAGAAAACAGGACAGCGGCAGAGTCTTACAGGTGTCTGTGAGAGGATTGCAATGTGTCAGAGCTGTATAAGTGAAATCAGCTGGTCATTAATAGCTCTAATTATCTCTTGATACTGGTTTATCTGGCTGTTTGCTTCACATTGTTCTCAACAAATTGAAAGGAAATGAACCATTAGTGGCTTGTGTGTTTGTTTATCTTGGCTGTGGAAGGCCAGTGCATGTGTGTAGGTTTGTGTTG